AGCTAATAGTTCATTTTACCTTTACATCAGCTCCTTTGGCAAGTGAAGAATGCTCCATTTCAAAGACTGGGTTGTCATGGTGGCCGACAACGGCAAAATAATAATTTCCCGTCATGTCGACGACAAGATTGATATTAACTATGATTGATTACTTTTCCTGGTAAATAAATTGAAAAACAAATATGCAAGTATTAAATCAATGAACTTTGGCAGGCTTTCAGCTGTACTTACAGGCAAGCACAGATAATGTACCAGTAATTGATTTTCTGCTATGTTATTAGTTAATAATATTGAGATTCAATCTTTATACGACTGTGAATTATGAACAAGTAGGAACAACTCAGTTTAGTAAGAATGTACAGACAAATAATATTCCCCTAAAGTACCCCGGTACATTTGGTACTTAGAAATCACTTTCAATCAGATGAACTTGAGTAAAATAGTACATGAATTTTACTTACATGGACAAGCTTTGATCATCACTGTGAAAATTTTGCACAGATGTCAAATGTATAAATGTATTAAAACATTTGATTTTTATAGCTAGAAGTTTTGCCAAAGTGATAATTATGGTGATTTTCTTAAGGTTAATCGGTACAGTTTCATGGAAGTCTTTTGAATATGCTGATACAATGTACTTTGTGAAAAATTGCTTAGTGGACATAATTAACATTAACTAACATTAATAATTGTCTTTGAATAAACATACCAAAATAAGTCCTATTATGAGGCATTGTTGTTATTAAAATTATCCTCAACTACTGACCTTCTTTGTAGTTCATACCTTTGACATGACATTATTAGATGCAATTCTTCTTCAGTTTACTTTGCATTACAACAGGTGTTTTTGGTTTTGTGTGCCAGCCAAATTTTTTTTTTTAAATAACTTGCTCTTGAAGTTCAATATACACAAGGTTGAAGAAAAATTACTTGAGTGATCCTGAACTCTCAATTGTTAACACAATTGTTAACAACGATGACAGACATACTAACACAATTGACATATACCTCATTTTTTATTTCCTAATACAGTATTCCAAATAATCTTCTACAATTACACTGGGTTTTTAAGTGCTTGGATGCTACTTTTCAAAATAGACAGATAATATGAATTTGAACACATGTTGAAAGTTTGGAAGTGCACATTACACACAGACTTGATATAATGAATAGACATGTGATTTATACAACTTTATTGTAAAAAAAGAATTACATCGGTAAATGACAAAACGTTTAATAACTTTTGTAATACGTTTAACAATTTTTTTTTACTTTTTGTAATGTTTTTGTAATATCGATGACATGACAAAAAAAACTTAATGCATGAACTACTGGCTAACAGGCTGTAGCAATATCAAGAATTATGTTGCAGTTTTCAATCACGCAATAGTGATGTGTCCTAAAGGATATATGAGCATGATGGGTATTGTTATCACCCTTTGCGAGAGACAACTGCAATTACGACACCATGATTAATGAAAACATTTCGAAAACATTAGTTTATCATACTAACAAGCCTGGAATCCATCCATTCTGAACACACCTAAAAAATTCTCTTGATAATAGACGGTATCTGGTCTAAAACACAGGGCACCCAAAATAGTTACCAGTATTTATTATCATATTTAACAATTCAGAACAATTTTTGTGATATTTTTAAAGAGAAGCTCAAATGTTTGTACCGTATGAAGTGGAAAAACAATTTGTTGATTAATTGTAAGCTTGACTTTTACAGGTGTGCTAAAGAAAATTTTAAATTTGAACATTATTTGGAAAAAATTAAAAATAAAAATCATAGAATAGCTTACACTAAATTTAGAACTTCTGCACATTTTCTTCCCATTGAATCCGGTAGACATAAAGGCATTTTGAAGGAAAATAGGCTATGTAATCTCCATGAATGCAATGAAGTAGGGAATGAGAAACATTACATTTTATATTGTAATAATTGTCAAATCAAAGAACAAAGATCTAGATTCCTTGCAGCTTTATACATCTATGCCCCAAAGCTGGAAGATTTTAGCATGGATGAATTATTTCCTATTATTGTTTCAAGTAATGATTTTTTCTTTCTTAGCATTTTTGCAAAATTTATTTTCTATATTCTTGATATGTTTTAATACTGTAAGTTTTTGTTGTTCTGAATGTTTTGTTTTGTTATTGTTATTTTTGGACTTTACTCAAGTTTTCATTGGTACGTTCCAAATAAAAAATTCTATCTATCATATTTACCACAGCAGACAGAAAAGTAAACAAAATAAATAAATAATGAATGCAGAAACAAGTCGGCATGCGTTGTGCGACTCAAACCATGGAAGGTACTAACAGACCATTAGTACCTTCCATGCTCAAACTAAGGCAAAGTTGGTTAATGGACTTGCTGTCCCTAAAGTCGGTGATAATCGGGAGGGTACATAAATTGTAGATTAGTTTATTTTTAATTACGTCCTTATTAGCCTATGAATACTGTATACTTTTAGTATTATCTGTAACCATTGCCACTCTTTCCGGGGAGTGAGTATGTGTTAATAAATAAATACTAAAATATTAAATATTAAATTAAATTTCTCTTCCGTATCGGTTATTTAATAACATTGGACATAATGGTAAATACTGTGGAAAGAGTTCCTTTTGCAGCTCCACCTCATGAGGCATCAATCACTACTGACAGTACGCACGATTGCTCTTTGGTGTAGTAATCCGTACCCCCCCCCCCCTCAAAATCGTTTTCCGGTTTATTTCATGTCGGTGTGTTATTGTGAATTTGACAAAACCGAAGTGCGTTGAAATTATTGAAATGTAAAATGAACTGTGTGTTGCAAATATACATACTAACCTTTGCGAATGTGTAGAATGAGTGAATGAAAAAAACAACAACAATCACCTATCCACTACCGACAGATCCTGTTTTGGTAGCCATCTTAAATGTGTTTACCCAGAACTCTATGCGAGCAGTCTGACCAATCAGAATTTCTAAAAAATAAATGCGCGCCATGAGCCTCCTTATTCAGTAATTCATGTACTCTGCCGCATTTGTTAATGTAGTTTTTGTGATTTCATTCGTTTCAGCATTTAGTCACTAATACAACATCAAATTAAACATACGAAAGTTCAAGCAAATATAAACCTTATGATAAATTTGTTAGATTTTCATCGAGTACGATCTATTTTGTTCTAACATTTGAAGCCGCATAACCAGACCCCAACAATAATCAATTCGCCATGTCCCAGGTAGTTCAAGATGGCTGCTCTCTTTTTGCATTTTTGTGAAAGATCTTTGCAGTGAGAATTTCACAGAATTCAGAAGTCCTGAAGGTTGCCGCTGATACGGGCTGATTGCACCATTACGTATGTATATTTCTCCTATATGTTGTAAATGATAAGAGCCAGTCAATATAGTTTTGGCGCAAAATTTGAACTCGACAGGTGCTTCGGTTGTCATGACTGTATCAGAAGCCATCGTCTTCCAGCACGGGCACACGAGTGATCGTACCGGTGTCTATCTCTGTGGAAACACACACAATATTGAATTTTTACGTATAAATGCGTGTAATCTAAATATCACCGATTCCCTAATATTATTATGTTTCTCAATGTCTCGAAAATTTACACATTTCCGGAAATTACCCTTAATGGTCGGTTTTGCAGTTCTCGAGTTAGTCGAAGAAACAGCAATGTCACCGACTGTCTGAATTGACATTTGTATCGTTACTCAAATTCAAAACAAATTATGTTAATTCCTTATAATGAAGTTTGCGATGACAGTATTATTGTGTGAATGGTTGCCACCAACACATTCTAGTTGATCAATAACACTAGAATCGTGCAGTGCTCTCACCGTAGTCAGAAGTGATCGGTGAAAATAGATTGTTATCGTGTGGTTGAACCACAAATCACATCGTTTGTTCGAATTATAAAGCTAGAAAACGTTTTATGTGGATTTGTTTTGGTTAGTGTCCAAATCGTTTTGATGAAATTGGAGAGGGCGTGTACTTATTTTCTTCGCAACGTGCTGGTAATACCACTTCATACGTTCTTGTTTTGACTTGAAATCGCTTCTTGATTGACAGAGCATGGAAACCTCAGTCCACGCCGCGCTGTATAATAACGTCTCCACGCTGTAAAAATAAGAAAAACAAAAGTTAATTGAACACTTTATATATTCAAAAGATATTTTGTGATTAGATAGGTATTTTACACTATTATTCTGAATTTTCTTTCATACCTTATTAAACCTGGCATGTATTTATCTTCTTGGCGAAGACCTGTTGACTAATAACACAAGTGACTGAAGGAAATAAAGATTTCTAGTTTTGAAAAACCTGTCTTCTTTCATTTTCTATTTTTGACAATCATTCTGTAACCCATCCATGCAGTGTCAATATCTTTTTATTGTTAATGATTGAATGACCTCATTTTGTTATCGACTTGTGTTTATATTGTATATACCTATATTTGTTTTCTCATTGTTTCTATATAAAACTATTTATACGTCATAACTTTGGTATTTTATGTGCCTGTAAAAAAAAAAAGTTTGAACTCGTATATTATAAGTGTGTCTAATTTTTCAATGATTTCCCGTAAAGGAGCAGGTGGTAGGGTCCCTCAAGCATCAGTAATTAATGATTCTAGATATTACTTTGCTCATTTAATATTATTGCACCAGTGAACTGAGTTGATCTCTACCTTTGCATGAAACATTTGTCTAATTGTTTCATGTTACTGCTTGTTGATAGCAATAGTTTTCGTGAGAAAAACTCTGCTTTCAATATAGACTGGACATGCCTGTACCAGTCACGACACAGTTCACCTTGTATGCTAATTGGTAAACAATGGCATTCACATGTGCAGTTACTTGTGTTGTACGTACAGATGTCATATCAGTTCAATTTTTGCTGCTGCTCTGTCGGCAAAGAGTTTCTTGGCTTCCATACTGTGAAATAATTAAGCAATGCCAGGGATGATTGGAATACCATCCAGGTAAAAACATTTATATAGAAAATCACCTTTATAGTGTAGACAGTTGTATTTAGGTCACTTTTTGTTGTTCAACAACATCTATGTACGTTGTTTCATTAGGCTGCAAAGCATGGATTGTTTTCACTGGGATGCCTTTACAGGTATACTTAGTTACAAACTTCTTCACAGAACTATCTGATGGTATTTTTTGTTGTTCCCCCCTCCCCCACAGTCTAGACTTCTAAAGCATTTTTGTCTATTTTTATTCGGTCAGATGTCATGTGAGTAGTATTTATTGCACTTCTAATGTACCATGCCCCATACATGCTGTGTTCACTCACTGTGACTTAGGCAGCAGTTGCATTGTAATTTAATTACATCAAATTCACATAAAAAATGTACTCAAGCACAAATTGTAAATTTGCTGTGGTCTTTTTTTATTAACTTTTGAAAGATATTTCGATTCTCATAAACTAAAAAAAAAATATAATTACATTTTAATTTAGATATTTTTAATATTTTAATTGTCAATATAATATAGCCAAGGCATGAACTTCTGAGTTAAGAGGAGAATCATTTTCAAGACAATATTAAAAAATATTGCTTTGTCATATAAAAATAGTATCGGAAAAGTTTGTATTTTTTTAAAGGAGAACAAGACAATCTTCTATTTGTCTTCAATATCCCTGTGAAGTTCAAGCTCTGATATACATGTCATTTATAAGCCCCCTTAATAATTCATAATCTGTGCCAGCCATGCTCTAGTACTTAATCATTGCTAGTATTGTGGTGAATCTGTAATTGACCTTACTATTGAAATGCAAATTCAACTTTGCTGATCGCAGCAACCAAACTATGCCTCTACAAGGGCAAATCTTTTAACAAGCACATAATCCAAAGTTTCCGCTTATAAATTATGTATGTATATATGTTGTGACTTCCTTAAAAAGTGATCTTTTTATTTTTTGTGTAATCAGCATTATGGCAACTGGTAGACAGAAAGTGTCAAGGGGTACATGTAGTTCTTCTGAACCAAGGCGTCCGTTATTGTATCGACCAAACCCTACTGAAGAAGACCAGCAGTTGAATTCTAATGAATTATTTGATGACAGACTTAACAACTGGGTAAATTTGATTCCTTTTTAGCTTTTCAAACTGTCAATCATATTTTCATCTCGGCTGTCATTGTAGATGACAGAGCAGAGCTGTTCATATCGGTGATTGTCCCCCATCATCAGTCAACAATTGCTCAATTGCTCTGATACTTGGAAGACCTCTGTCAGATTTATTTTATTATGATAACTTTGATTCTTTATTTTTGGCAAATATTTTTCTTGAAAACTACCAACCCGATTGCTTTGATATTTGAGGTAATTTTTTTGATGAAGTTTAGTTGACATGTTTTCAACAGCCAGAACCAATCTACTTTTTTGTGGGTTAACTGTTTTTTTTTTTGGGTGTGCATTGCTTGACTTGGCTAACACAATGTTCTTGAAGGACAGTGTAGCTATTTCGCCCATCAGGTCGTATGTAATTTTTAGGAATCATCAGGGTACTGTATTTCTTAATTAATTATATCATAATATGATATACCTATCATGGGTATGACGATCTAGCAAAAATTAATACTAACCAGTATACAAAATGTAATTTGTGAAACAAGTGGAATATAGTTTAGTTGTAATATAACAAAATCAAATTGTGGGTATTATAGTATTTAGATAATTCTATTTACAAGTGAAAAGTAGGATTGCAGAATAATGCAAATGATACCAGTTTAGTGACTTTCAGTTTTTTGCTTGAGTGTGGTACCTGTGCGATGTAGTGCGATGTGTGATATTTTTGGGTAACTAATTTTTTTCAAGAGATAGGTTGATTATAATATTGTAAAATCTGTTGATTTGTAGAAAAGCACATAAATCTAACAATTGAACAGAATCATGACTACAAGAGGTTTAAATTTCTATTAGCTACTTGTATGTATTTAAAATGGTGTAGTGCTGGTTCCGGGGTTCATTCTGATATGGACGAATCCCTAACTCTTTGTTGCAGTTTGATAAATTGTTTCTTCGATTTTGGATGCTTTTTTTTTTGTATTATAATCGTCATCTGGCCACTTGTTTTTTGACTAACAATTACTAATATTTGACATATTTCCACTAGACTAATTGGCGTCCAAGCACAACATTTGCAAATCAACTACAGAGGCAGAAAAAAAAGAAGGAAGGCAACCGTGATCGAGAGCTTCCCCTTGGACTTGAATCTCCTCCAACCAGCGCTCTACTTCGTCACCATACCCCGGCAACTTACCCAAGAACGCAATTCATCTCTGGTGTCCCTGCTGCAGAGCGTGCTGCTTTGGAATCACTCAAGCAGAGATTGACATTCAGTGAAACTGACGAGGTGAGTTTTTATTCTTGCTTTGACATGTAAGTTAGTCTTCTCATTCCCCAAACCAATGTATGCTCAACTAAAAAATGTTATACTTTCATCTCAAAGCTGTTACACTTTGTATCAGGGGAAATAAAATTAATACAAAATGCATCAGGTTAGAAGAAAATTTTTCACATGAATTAAGGCCTGGAGAGAATACTGTATACAATTCAACAAATTTTGAACCAAAACTATAGCTAGAACACCAGAATGAACTGTAGTATAGTAATCCTCTTCTTTGCCTGCCAGTGTCGTGCATATGATCACCCAGCAACTACAGAAACCCCAAAACTTATTGAAATCTACATGTTTTTATTCTCTGACACAGCAGAGTGTTGATATGGAAGGTGCTCAGGCAGCTGCTAACAACGAACGAGAAGTGAGAAGACGTACAGCTGCACATCCATTACAACAACAATCTAACATATTGAATGATGTTGATGCAGTAAGTGCCTGTTTTACTACATGTAATGTTACCTGCTTTAGAATGTATGTAATAAAATTTGCAAAGATTGCTAAATCGCAAATAGTGATAAGATTACAAAGACTGAGTTTTCATTCCTTCACATTTTATTCAGCTGGACTTAAGACAAAATGCAAATGCACTTACTGTTTTTGTGTTAAAAGTGAGTGAGTCGTCACTTGCGCATGTGGCAGATGGCCATCGTGTGTTGTTGTTTACAAACAAGTATCTACCCATGAGCATTTGCGTTTTTAGCGTGCATTGTATTTGTTACTGTTGCTTGGAACCCAATTCCTGTGACGATCCTGCAACTTTAAATACGGTTTTCAATATTTGTTACTGCTACAGAATAAAAACAAGTGTCAATGAGATAGGTATGTCTAAGAACTAGTTTATGGCCTACATGTTGTACCTGTTAGAACATGAAACCAATGAATGTGTTCTCTTTTATTTTCCTGTAGCCTGATAGAAATCAAATAGTTGCTCGTCTTATGCAGATACGGGTAAGTGTGATTCAGTTGTGATTGACCATAATTAAATCCATCTAATTTGTCAAAATAAGTATACGTAAATCAGGTTAAAGATTAGGATTCAGCTGTTTATGCAGTTTATTT